AAGTCAGGACGAAAATTATTTTTTCCAACCTTTATACATTTTTAAAAAATATTTTATTTTAATTTTTTTCTAAACTTTTAATTTTTTTATACTTTATTTATTTTTTAGCTTCACTGTTGGGGGCTTGGGGGAAATATCAGGGGTCTAAATAGACCCCTGATATTTCCCTTTCATAATAGAAAAAGAGATTGAGGACACGGAGTCCTCAATCTTTTTTTCTGCAGCCCCAGCACTGAATGAACAGGAATCTTCTGTAATGAGTGTTTCTGTTCATTCATAAATTGTGGACATAGTATGAGTTAATATGTACACAATCATGAATGAACAGGAAGTAATGTAGATCCTTTCCCATTCATCCATAACTGGTACATAGTAACTCATACTATGTCCAGTTATTTACAAACATTCAGCGATCACTGATTGCTGACTGCTTGTACGGCTCTCCATCCTGACTCACTGTCACAGGAGGCTGAGCGGGTGGTACGGGGAGGAGAGCTTGGTCTCAATTGACAGATGACGCCTCCCCCTCACAGCTGGCTTGGTCTCCAGCGACTTCTGACAGCTGTCTCTGCCCACACAATGCTCTCCTGATCTGTTACAGGAGGCTGAGCAGGGCGGTGCAGGGAGGAGAGCGATGTGAGCGTGTCAAAGGAGGATGAGCTCTCCTCCCTGCACCGCTCGGCTTGTGACAGTTTCTCTCCTCCCTGCTGGACACTGCGCTGTTTCAGAGGGGACACAGAGCACCGCCCAGCGGGGAGGAGAGAAATAGTGGATGCACTGCATTATGCCCAATGTGCCATTTGTGACCGATATGTTTTTGCGGCTGAAATTTTGGTGTTCAGAAAGGTAAATGAGGAGATTGGATAGAGATAGATAGATAGATAGATAGATAGATAGATAGATAGATAGATAGATAGATAGATAGATAATATATAGATTAAGAGGAAACAGCTGTAAAATGTTTTGCTAAAGGCACAGGTAAAAATGTCCCAGCTATAACAATCACAAATGATAAGTATATGATGAACCTGTGAGTAACACAACTAAGGCTTATCTGCTATCTGATATGAAAAATTAACTGCTTCCCAGAAATCCCCTTGCTAAAAAAGATACCTTGCTATTTTACTGCGTCATTTTCCAGCTCAGCATCTGGTAGTCCTCTTTTATCTACATCCCTAAATGATCCTGTATACCTTCTGCAAATATGTCCAGGGCTCTGATGCCATATTAAATAAACGTGCAAATAACATTAATTATGTTTCCTTCATTTGTAACTTGAAATGTTTCTCTACAGCTTTTACAGACAAAATGTTGACACAGTACAGAAAATAGGACTGTGTCCCTATTTTAAATACTATTATTCCCTGTTTAGCTTAAATATTTGTTCTAATCTTACCCATGATAAACAGAGCTGCATTCTGTACGTTTTACATCATCAGGTTGCCTGCATAGATTTCCTGTCTGTATCCCAATGCTGTGTGTGCTCTAGGCATGCTCAGCTGAAGATGCTATCACGTCTTAAAAGGGAATAGACATACAGCAATTTAAAAGGGAAACACTGCAGCATGGCCAGTGATATTTTGCCCTATCTTACTTTATGCTGCATTTCTGTGAATCTCATTAAGACTGTATTTCAATTTGAACTGTACCCATCTAGAAAATGCCATGTCATCCAGCTTGATTAGTTTTTCTTTTCAAAGTGCCATCCCCATATCAATTCTTCACTATTTCCTAATGTGGCAGCAGATAGATAAGATTGCTAAATATATTTAAATAATTCATGTTTTATTGTATTTACATATAATGAGGCCTTTGACCCCCTCGCTCCTTCTTGCATTTCAACCACACATGCAAAAGAGAACAGCAGTATGTAATATGCCATCTGACTTTTGTCCTAGAATGTAATTTTGCAACTAAAAATGCTGATGACAGTAACTATCTTGTGACTGACCCCCTCCTCCTTGTCAGAAGACTGTGACAATAGTAGTCACAAGCGGTGACCACAGTTGATAACGGATATGAACCATATTTAGTAGAATTGCAAATGCTGCTTGCTGATTGGCTTAGAGCTGTAAAGGAAATATGTGTATTAGAAATATGTAATGTGACGTAATTGATGTTATATATATGTAGTGACCGCCCTTAAAGGGCCACTCAGGAATTGGAGACGGTAGTCACCTGAGTCCTCTGCAGAGAATAAAGAAGATTTGTATTCCTGAAGTCTGTGTCCGGAGTCCATTGCTGGTTTCCCAAAATAACTAAAAATGCTGATGACAGTAACTATCTTGTGACTGACCCCCTCCTCCTTGTCAGAAGACTGTGACAATAGTAGTCACAAGCGGTGACCACAGTTGATAACGGATATGAACCATATTTAGTAGAATTGCAAATGCTGCTTGCTGATTGGCTTAGAGCTGTAAAGGAAATATGTGTATTAGAAATATGTAATGTGACGTAATTGATGTTATATATATGTAGTGACCGCCCTTAAAGGGCCACTCAGGAATTGGAGACGGTAGTCACCTGAGTCCTCTGCAGAGAATAAAGAAGATTTGTATTCCTGAAGTCTGTGTCCGGAGTCCATTGCTGGTTTCCCAAAAGCTGTTTCCCGCTACACTAACTCTTCAAGAACTGACTCCTGACCAGATTTCTAGCTGCAGAGTAAAGCTCAGTAAAGCAGAACAGAAGATATTCACATGTCTCATCCCATCACTTGTCCCAGAAAAAACAAAGGATTATTCCTCTTTTCAGTGGCTGAGCTGTATGAATATTCGTCTTGGACAAATTTGCATTGCAGCAAAGTGACATTAGACAAAAGAAAACAGATTACTTTTTTTTCAGAAGAGAAAAAAAATGTGAGGTTCCCCCCCAATTGATACCAGACCCTTTAGGTCTGGTAGGAATGTTAGGAGGGACCCCCAAGTTAAAAAATAAAATAATAAGTGTGTGGGGTTCCCCTAAAAACCATACCAGGCCCTTTAGGTCTGGTGTGGAAATGGGGAGGAAACGTGGGGTCCCCTAAAATTCCTAATAGACCCTTGATCCGAGCACAGGCCCGGCAGCGCAAGAAAGGGGGGGTGATAGAGTGTCCTCCCACGTCTTAGCAGGCCACGTGCCCTCGGCATTGGGAGGGTGTCACCCTTTAACCACTTGAAGACCAGGTGTTTACACCCCCTTCCTGGCCAGGCCATTTTTCAGTATTTAGATTAAAGTAGTCACTCGCACCACAGGAGTGCGAGTGACTACTTTCATCTATCTACATTTCACGGAGGCATCCGTTGTCACTACCGCACCCACCCAGTTGGATTTGGGTTTTTGTCCGGTCAGGAGTGCAATGGGACAGGAGGATTATGTTTCATTTTTCAGTATTGACATTTATTCCATCATGCAATGCGGTACTGAAATGAATTTGATACCATTTTTTGGTGACACATAGCGCTTTCTTTTGGCTGTATTTAATCACCACTGCGGTTTTAATTTTTTACTATATTAAGAAAAAAAGTGTTTTTTTTACATTATGTTATAATACATTTATTATTACCCAATTTTTTGGTAAAATATAAAAGACAGGGTCACATCGGGTAAATAGACACCAAACATGTCAAGCTTTAAAACCCGCAAAATCGCAAAAAACTACCATGCCCAAAATTGACCATAGGCAATGCTTTAAAAGCTTTTACATCAGTTTAGTGTTATCAGTGATTGATGGCCCTAGAATTATTGCTGTCACTGCAACGTTCATGGTGATATGTAACATATGCGGCGTAATGGGCGCAATCGTTGTTTTAGCACGTATGAGCACCCAATGCATGTTTGCATGCGTGTATGTATGGGTCAGGACTTATATAATATTTTTTTTTATTCTTTTTCATGTGTGACTTAAATTTTTTTTCCACTTTTATTTTTTTTCCACTTAACTTTTATATAAATGTTAGGGCCCTTATAAGACTGTATCAGGTACACAGGGTTAATATAAGAGAGCTGGTCAGGATGACCAGAAACTCTGAAGGCAATAATTCTATCCACAGATGAGCAGAAAGGGAGATCTGTGACTATGGACAGCATGATCCCAAAGAAACTCCTGTGCATCTCACAGTCAGCTCTTCTAGAATGGAGACTTCACAGCATCAGCACTAATGATATAGTACTGAATCTGTTTTATCGTTGCATGAACACTGATTGTCTGTGTTTGTAGCCTCAACATTCTCTCTAGTGGGAGTCCTGCATTAATTTGTGTATTTGTAGAGTTCAGTTTTAAGTGACCTTTCTGAATTTACTCAGTTCCAATGTTTCATTCACACAGCATATACTTACTAATTTGTTCCCTGACTGCTTCACTCAGTCATGGGGAGAGGGGAAAAACAGCCTTGTGTAAGCTCAAGTCATATATCTAGTTGGAGGTTACATAGGGCAGACTGTCTCTCCAATGGGCCAATTGCCAAGTACCAGCAGTGTCACATGAAGTAAGTCACCAGCTTCTCCATACCTAAAAGTAATGGGTAGTTCTATCTCTCCAGCCGACAAAATAGTGCAGTGTGGGAGAGAAGGAATGTTATCTGCTGTTGAGGATCAGACGTTAAAGTAAACCTGTTGTTTTGCCCTGCAAGGGCAAAGCACAGGTTTGTTTTAACATTAATATGTTGCAGGCAATATTTTGGACACACTAGATTGGGAGTATCACTTTTGAATGTAAATAGACTTAAGGTGCCCACACACCTTGCGATAATCGTACAATAATCGCTGGAAATCCCGCGATCATACGATTATCGCAAGGTGTGTGGAAGGCATGCAACCTCTCCTACTGTAAGGTTGCACAACTTTTATCTTATGAACATGTTCGAAAACCCGCCGAGAATCGTACGATTGTCGGCGGGTGTGTGGCATGTTCGCAAGATAAAAGCCGCACGGGCTGGTGTGCGCAAGCGCACACTGCCCGTTTAGCATTGCGGTCATCGGAAGCCCGCCCCTCAGTGGAGCAGCTTGCGATTGTCGCAAGTACGATCTGCCTGTCCAAGATAGGCAGATCATACGTTTTTTTTATTACCTTACAACCATCGCAAGACAAAAGTCTTGCGATGGTTGTAAGATGTGTGCCCAGCTTTACCAAGCCAATATTGTATACTTGTTGCTATATTGAAATCTCTGATGTACAGTACAGGTATGTGCAAGGAAAAAAATCTATCCTTCTTCGGTAATATGACTATTCTTTCCTCATAACTTTTTGTTTTTCGTGTTTTGTTTCATATCTTTAGTCTGTAAGATATTATTGGGTTCATTGCAAAAGTTGATTACATTTCTACATGTTAAGCTCAAAGGCATTAGACAATAGACATGATGTTTTGCTTTAGTTTAGTACTGTATGCAATTATGCTTTCATACAACAGATGTTATTACAAAAAATGGACTTTGACAAATCTCAGTGGATGTGTTGGCTTGCAGCATGTAGAAAGCTGTTTCAGTAAAATGTGTCTGGGAAATGCATGCCATACTTCAGAAAGAATTTCATATTCTGCCTACTCTGAATAATCAGGATATGAATCTTGCTTTTTATAGATTTTGTTTTTATTTTAAATACTTGCATCCCAACAAGATGAAACTGAATAATTTCCTACTGGGTCACCATACAAGATCAGTCAATAGAAGTAATCAATACACAGTGAATAAAAAGTAGTCATAGATGGGAAAATCTCAGCTTTTCTGATATGTCTATTCTTGTATAGATGATGAAGTACTTTTTCCCTGCTGCTCAGTTAAAAATGAATTTGCCACATTTACGGTATCTCCAAATTAGGCATTCTGTTCACTTTTTGTTAAAAGACAATGCCACTCCTCTCGCCATAACTCCTTTTCAGCACTTTTGCTGTGGCAACCCTCATGCATCGGGCCTTATTTCACTACTATATTCTTCTATATTATCTATTTATCTATATTAGTACCTAGATGGTACTACACACCAGCCTGCCTCACAGAATGCTTTCCCACTTATCCTTCCACCTGTGAACTATGCTTCATGTATGGAGGTATCCTCATGTCTCCAAATTGTGGATAAGGGTTTATACTCTTATTCACTCAATTCTCCATGTTAACCTATGCAGGGATCCTTGCCATGCACGTTTGCTTTAGCCCATCCCTACCTTATCCCGTCTAGAGGAAACTAAATTCTTCCATATTTTTGTTACTACGAAAATGGCCATAGCTCGTGCTTGGAAATCTTCATCTCCTAACTTCAATGAGGTCAAATGTAGAGTCAATTCATTTTTGGTCAACAAAAAGCTTACTGTGATACACAATGATATGCACACACACTTTCTAATAATTTGGCAACCAAAGATATTGTAAACAAGTCCATCTGAGCACCTGAGGCTATTTTATTGTCCATTTAAATTCCTGACATCTTCGAGCACTACTTTTCTTTTTCCCGTTTCTCTCATCTAGGGGTCTATTCACTAGCTTCGGCTGATCCTTCGGCTAGCTTCGGCCCAAGGACCCTTTCTGTTCA